ACAATGGTTGGGGTCGCGCTAAATCACGAATTGGTAGAAGTTAGAATTCACGAGCCATTGAATCGGGTTCCAGTGGCTGAATGGTATACGAGCTTGCCTTGTAACCGGAAGGTCCTGGGTTCGAAACCCAGTGGGTGCGTACTGCCGATGATTCCCAAACTAGGATGAAACAGCAGCTGTCCAGTACTCCCTGGTTTTCAATGGTTCTCTAACTGATATCAATCCGTGATCAACTCTTAAAACATAACTAATCCTTACAAACCAAACTATAGAAAGTTAATCTGATGCTCGCTAGTGACTTGCTACAGGTCGGAGTTTCCTGAGTTCTAGTGAGAAGTCGTGACCAGTGAGGTCCAATTAGATGTCACGTGTGTGGGTGGATGTCCCACCAACGACAATGGTTGGGGTCGGGCTAAATCACGAATTGGTAGAAGTTAGAATTCACGAGCCATTGAATCGGGTTCCAGTGGCTGAATGGTATACGAGCTTGCCTTGTAACCGGAAGGTCCTGGGTTCGAAACCCAGTGGGTGCGTACTGCCGATGATTCCCAAACTAGGATGAAACAGCAGCTGTCCAGTACTCCCTGGTTTTCAATGGTTCTCTAACTGATATCAATCCGTGATCAACTCTTAAAACATAACTAATCCTTACAAACCAAACTATAGAAAGTTAATCTGATGCTCGCTAGTGACTTGCTACAGGTCGGAGTTTCCTGAGTTCTAGTGAGAAGTCGTGACCAGTGAGGTCCAATTAGATGTCACGTGTGTGGGTGGATGTCCCACCAACGACAATGGTTGGGGTCGGGCTAAATCACGAATTGGTAGAAGTTAGAATTCACGAGCCATTGAATCGGGTTCCAGTGGCTGAATGGTATACGAGCTTGCCTTGTAACCGGAAGGTCCTGGGTTCGAAACCCAGTGGGTGCGTACTGCCGATGATTCCCAAACTAGGATGAAACAGCAGCTGTCCAGTACTCCCTGGTTTTCAATGGTTCTCTAACTGATATCAATCCGTGATCAACTCTTAAAACATAACTAATCCTTACAAACCAAACTATAGAAAGTTAATCTGATGCTCGCTAGTGACTTGCTACAGGTCGGAGTTTCCTGAGTTCTAGTGAGAAGTCGTGACCAGTGAGGTCCAATTAGATGTCACGTGTGTGGGTGGATGTCCCACCAACGACAATGGTTGGGGTCGGGCTAAATCACGAATTGGTAGAAGTTAGAATTCACGAGCCATTGAATCGGGTTCCAGTGGCTGAATGGTATACGAGCTTGCCTTGTAACCGGAAGGTCCTGGGTTCGAAACCCAGTGGGTGCGTACTGCCGATGATTCCCAAACTAGGATGAAACAGCAGCTGTCCAGTACTCCCTGGTTTTCAATGGTTCTCTAACTGATATCAATCCGTGATCAACTCTTAAAACATAACTAATCCTTACAAACCAAACTATAGAAAGTTAATCTGATGCTCGCTAGTGACTTGCTACAGGTCGGAGTTTCCTGAGTTCTAGTGAGAAGTCGTGACCAGTGAGGTCCAATTAGATGTCACGTGTGTGGGTGGATGTCCCACCAACGACAATGGTTGGGGTCGGGCTAAATCACGAATTGGTAGAAGTTAGAATTCACGAGCCATTGAATCGGGTTCCAGTGGCTGAATGGTATACGAGCTTGCCTTGTAACCGGAAGGTCCTGGGTTCGAAACCCAGTGGGTGCGTACTGCCGATGATTCCCAAACTAGGATGAAACAGCAGCTGTCCAGTACTCCCTGGTTTTCAATGGTTCTCTAACTGATATCAATCCGTGATCAACTCTTAAAACATAACTAATCCTTACAAACCAAACTATAGAAAGTTAATCTGATGCTCGCTAGTGACTTGCTACAGGTCGGAGTTTCCTGAGTTCTAGTGAGAAGTCGTGACCAGTGAGGTCCAATTAGATGTCACGTGTGTGGGTGGATGTCCCACCAACGACAATGGTTGGGGTCGGGCTAAATCACGAATTGGTAGAAGTTAGAATTCACGAGCCATTGAATCGGGTTCCAGTGGCTGAATGGTATACGAGCTTGCCTTGTAACCGGAAGGTCCTGGGTTCGAAACCCAGTGGGTGCGTACTGCCGATGATTCCCAAACTAGGATGAAACAGCAGCTGTCCAGTACTCCCTGGTTTTCAATGGTTCTCTAACTGATATCAATCCGTGATCAACTCTTAAAACATAACTAATCCTTACAAACCAAACTATAGAAAGTTAATCTGATGCTCGCTAGTGACTTGCTACAGGTCGGAGTTTCCTGAGTTCTAGTGAGAAGTCGTGACCAGTGAGGTCCAATTAGATGTCACGTGTGTGGGTGGATGTCCCACCAACGACAATGGTTGGGGTCGCGCTAAATCACGAATTGGTAGAAGTTAGAATTCACGAGCCATTGAATCGGGTTCCAGTGGCTGAATGGTATACGAGCTTGCCTTGTAACCGGAAGGTCCTGGGTTCGAAACCCAGTGGGTGCGTACTGCCGATGATTCCCAAACTAGGATGAAACAGCAGCTGTCCAGTACTCCCTGGTTTTCAATGGTTCTCTAACTGATATCAATCCGTGATCAACTCTTAAAACATAACTAATCCTTACAAACCAAACTATAGAAAGTTAATCTGATGCTCGCTAGTGACTTGCTACAGGTCGGAGTTTCCTGAGTTCTAGTGAGAAGTCGTGACCAGTGAGGTCCAATTAGATGTCACGTGTGTGGGTGGATGTCCCACCAACGACAATGGTTGGGGTCGGGCTAAATCACGAATTGGTAGAAGTTAGAATTCACGAGCCATTGAATCGGGTTCCAGTGGCTGAATGGTATACGAGCTTGCCTTGTAACCGGAAGGTCCTGGGTTCGAAACCCAGTGGGTGCGTACTGCCGATGATTCCCAAACTAGGATGAAACAGCAGCTGTCCAGTACTCCCTGGTTTTCAATGGTTCTCTAACTGATATCAATCCGTGATCAACTCTTAAAACATAACTAATCCTTACAAACCAAACTATAGAAAGTTAATCTGATGCTCGCTAGTGACTTGCTACAGGTCGGAGTTTCCTGAGTTCTAGTGAGAAGTCGTGACCAGTGAGGTCCAATTAGATGTCACGTGTGTGGGTGGATGTCCCACCAACGACAATGGTTGGGGTCGCGCTAAATCACGAATTGGTAGAAGTTAGAATTCACGAGCCATTGAATCGGGTTCCAGTGGCTGAATGGTATACGAGCTTGCCTTGTAACCGGAAGGTCCTGGGTTCGAAACCCAGTGGGTGCGTACTGCCGATGATTCCCAAACTAGGATGAAACAGCAGCTGTCCAGTACTCCCTGGTTTTCAATGGTTCTCTAACTGATATCAATCCGTGATCAACTCTTAAAACATAACTAATCCTTACAAACCAAACTATAGAAAGTTAATCTGATGCTCGCTAGTGACTTGCTACAGGTCGGAGTTTCCTGAGTTCTAGTGAGAAGTCGTGACCAGTGAGGTCCAATTAGATGTCACGTGTGTGGGTGGATGTCCCACCAACGACAATGGTTGGGGTCGGGCTAAATCACGAATTGGTAGAAGTTAGAATTCACGAGCCATTGAATCGGGTTCCAGTGGCTGAATGGTATACGAGCTTGCCTTGTAACCGGAAGGTCCTGGGTTCGAAACCCAGTGGGTGCGTACTGCCGATGATTCCCAAACTAGGATGAAACAGCAGCTGTCCAGTACTCCCTGGTTTTCAATGGTTCTCTAACTGATATCAATCCGTGATCAACTCTTAAAACATAACTAATCCTTACAAACCAAACTATAGAAAGTTAATCTGATGCTCGCTAGTGACTTGCTACAGGTCGGAGTTTCCTGAGTTCTAGTGAGAAGTCGTGACCAGTGAGGTCCAATTAGATGTCACGTGTGTGGGTGGATGTCCCACCAACGACAATGGTTGGGGTCGCGCTAAATCACGAATTGGTAGAAGTTAGAATTCACGAGCCATTGAATCGGGTTCCAGTGGCTGAATGGTATACGAGCTTGCCTTGTAACCGGAAGGTCCTGGGTTCGAAACCCAGTGGGTGCGTACTGCCGATGATTCCCAAACTAGGATGAAACAGCAGCTGTCCAGTACTCCCTGGTTTTCAATGGTTCTCTAACTGATATCAATCCGTGATCAACTCTTAAAACATAACTAATCCTTACAAACCAAACTATAGAAAGTTAATCTGATGCTCGCTAGTGACTTGCTACAGGTCGGAGTTTCCTGAGTTCTAGTGAGAAGTCGTGACCAGTGAGGTCCAATTAGATGTCACGTGTGTGGGTGGATGTCCCACCAACGACAATGGTTGGGGTCGCGCTAAATCACGAATTGGTAGAAGTTAGAATTCACGAGCCATTGAATCGGGTTCCAGTGGCTGAATGGTATACGAGCTTGCCTTGTAACCGGAAGGTCCTGGGTTCGAAACCCAGTGGGTGCGTACTGCCGATGATTCCCAAACTAGGATGAAACAGCAGCTGTCCAGTACTCCCTGGTTTTCAATGGTTCTCTAACTGATATCAATCCGTGATCAACTCTTAAAACATAACTAATCCTTACAAAGCAAAATATGAATATTCTTCTTTCAGATTGACTTTGAATTCATAATATTCGCACTATCATATCTTCACATGTTTACTTTCTGTGGAATAGCCTGATTTAGGTAGAATAGGATAGAAAGAATACTGGTTAATTTTTTTACTCTGTTTTATAGCTGGGTAGATATTTGGTAATCTGTAAAGTTAATACAAGTTTGGAATCTCTAGTTAGATCTTCTATATCTGTTTAAGGTGTCATCAATGGTCAGTGCATTAAAGACGATGAATCGGTCAAGGCATTCTACTATATGATACATTTTTTTTTTTTGATTACAGCTTGATTCCACCCATATTTTTGGTACAAGTGTGGAATTTTCAGCGTGGATATCGGTAGCCCAAAATTCGCAGGCCGACCATAGATATCAAGTGTGCGTCGGCGCGGCCTCGAACCCCGGCCCATGTGCGTGGTCGGCGAGAGTCCTAACCATTGTGCCAGCCGTGTTCACGAAGATAAATAAATTTCTCCTCGGCGAGGAGTTTACTATTCACATCTAGAGTATTGACAGTGCGCAGTTGTATTTCTCAGATAACCATTGGAACAATTTGTCACAAAGATGATTAATACCAATACTGGAATAAATAATACATGATTATTAAACTTATTTGATTTGTTATACTACTTACAAGTAGGTGAATCACTTAGAAGTAAAGCTAAAGCAGCACGTTCAGTTTCGCTTAATTCGTATATCGCTCTGCTTGTATGCTCAGGTGTTGGTTGAATCCATATTGTTGTTGAGGCTGACAGTGCACTCGAATCGATGGAATCTTTAGAGCATGCTGGTCTGGGGATAGCCACATGTGTTATTCTGTGTGGTGAAGTTTGTGATTCGATTAACTGTGCCACCGAGCAGGTGGTCAGGCTGATGATCACATGCACATTCCTCTCGATTAAGTTGCAGACTGAAGCAAAGAGAAGAGAATGTAATCAAACAGAAGCAATCAGCACTCAGCCCTCCATATTCAAATGAGGAAACATATATCATAGGTATATATATATACATATATATTGAAATTCTCTCAATAATTTACTGGATGTATGTTTATTTCAGCGAGTGTAAATTGAGTGAGTTTGTTTCCTGAAGAGAACAAGGCTATATTGACAGGAATGTTCTGCGTTGATAACTACTACGGATAGAATACATCTGTCTGTCAATCAAATCGGGAAATTATCTACTTTTGATCAATGTTGCTTCATCAAAATTTCATCCCAAATACTACTGCTTGACTGAGATAATTCGCTGAACAGCACTTGCATCAGCGCTTGCTAGCCACATTTCCTCATTGTCATTTATGGTATCACAAGTTTGATTGGATGGAGGATTTAAGAATGAGACGACATCAGTTATAGAACCACTGGAAAACCTAGGAGTACTGAACACCTGTTTTGTCCGTCCTAGTCTGGGACTCTTTAGCAGTACGCAACCAACGGGGTTCGAACACAGAACCTTCTTGTTACAAGGCGAACTCGCAGACTATTAAGACACTGGGACCCGATCCAGTGGCTATCCTTTGAATTGTAACTTCTACCAATTCACAACATAGTGCGACCATTTCGCAATGTCTCCTTCGATGAGTGAGTCACTGCCTCATCTTCAACCTGATGTACCCTAATGGCCACGGCTTCCCACTAGAAACTCAGGAGACTGCCTGAATAGGGGAAGTCGCTAGAAAGCATCAGATTAATTTTCAAGTATTGATTTTGTAGGGGTTCAGCTTGATTGGATGGAGGATTTCACCATAAGCTGACAACAGTTAGAGAACCAATGGAAATCACAAGTTGTGATTTGAATTATTTTCGCTTCCACGCTTTCATCCACTGATTTGTACAATTTTATTTTGCAAACTGAACTTAAACGATAAATGAATGATGAATTTTAACTTTTCCTAGAGGAGACGACTGAGTGGTTAATTTTGTCTCAGTAGCACCCCAGCTTGAAAACAAAATACCCCTCCCTGAATATCAATTCAACAATAGCAAAAAAAGGAAAACTTGAATGATTCCTCCAGAATGCATCTTCCCATGAAACTATTTATTATCTGAGTTGCAACAAGTAAGAAACTATTTGAATGAAATTTAAATGGGACAGAACGAAATGGGAACATTCTTTCACATGACTTGGCGTCTAGATTTGCTCAAGAAGAGAAATACGTTCCAGTGAGAGTCTAGTGACTGTTTATGTGCGATGCAGATAGGAATGTATTAATCTGAAGTCGTGGGCTTGGTTTTGGTTGACATCTGCTCCAGCAATACTGTCAATGCCCACCGCCACTCACATGCTTGCCTCGTTGAAATGATCTTAACACTAGGTGACTCAGCTGAGGCCAACAGCATCAACGGTGTACCGGACCCGACTTGACGCAGTTCAAACCACCCACACAGCAAGATGGAAATATCGACTGTAGATTGGAGCTCTCTCTGATCAAACGACACTGGGAATGTTTCTAGGATTGTGTGGGATACACTCAACATTTTCTTGAAACACGTCTCTGATAACAAAGATGGGCAAAAGTATGGTGAAACATTGAACAGAGGTGAAATGGTCTATCTTAGACAAATGTTATATTCCAGAAGTCACCGGAACAAAAATTACCCTATGTAATTGAAAATAACTATGACGATCATTTTAATTTATTTATCAGTAATGTGAGTATTATGGCAAAAATTTGTGAGACTAACCTTGACCAACTGTAAATTCATTTACAGTTATGTTTAATGCAGGTGGGCTTGGCAGAGAAAAATTTCTGATCGGATAATCAGCATAATATTCCATTTTGGCACTCAACTCATCGAATCGTCTCATCAAAGCTTCTCCAGATATTCCCAGTTCATTGTCATAAATTATACCTATGAGAAAACAAAATAAACCGACGGTTATCCATCATGGAACACCTACTGTCGTCTATCTCATATTTCAACTTCCTAATCAGCTTCGACTGATCAGCTGCATTCCAAACAAACCTCAGTCACCTTTTATCTGGATTACAGTTATAATACACAAGCACAGTGAAGAACACTGTCAAACGGATTAATTATAGGAGTGCTGATTAGTTAAGTACAGGTTGAACTCTCGAAGAAGGGAACACAATTTCACTCAGTATCACATACATCTGGCTTCCCCATCCTTCTTAAATTAGAATAAAGAATTGCAGAGTATCAGAGTCTGTCTTTAAATCGTAGTCACTATATTCCAAGGATGCTGGAGTGATACTGGTAACCAACACATGAAGGAATGAGAAGCCGCACTGCTTACTGTTTCATTAACACCAACACTCTGTACACTGACTGATCCGACTAACGACACTCATAATTATCCGGAGGATAAAATTGATTCTGTGTATACGCAGTGTCACCATATCCTGAAGCGAAAAAAATCTCATAAATTTTATATTACTGAAGAACTGATAAATAATGGAAGTCTGAGTATAAACGACTTAGGTTATCCCCCAATCAATGCTACAGGGGAAAAACAGAAGCTTTAATTACTGGATTGGTTTCTTTTGTTATACGTGAGACTTCTTGCCAGTCTTTTGAATCAGTGATTTGAAGATTGTATACATTTTGGCATTCATTCATGTGACTGCTTGACCACTGTTTGTTTATTTAGAATGACGCTGTCTTAATATACATGAATAATTTTTGATCAGTGAAACTCCGAAATCAGGAGGTATATTTCAGCCTCACTTGGCCACTCAGCATAATTAACAATCAACATTTTGCTTTATTGAAGAGATGAAGCCATCAGATAGGTTATATATAGTTATATCTATATTTGGGGGTAATCAGTAGGAGATTTTGAACCGAAATTTCATGCTTTCTGTCACTCATCAGCAAGGATAATCTGCAAGTCATTCAAAACGACATCACTTAGTTCTGCAATCAGAGACACTTCCATCGAAACCTTCATGCTTCCCAATGATTGTCTCCAACAACTTAATGTCATTTCAAGTGGTGGGTCACCTAATAGGTCATAATGTCATCGGTGAGTATTTGTCCTCACACCTCACCTAACTTAGTCAACATCAGTCGGCACAACTTCCCACCAGAACTTCAGACGATCTTATCCACTAGTGAGTGAGACACTAATGGAGTGGGGGTCATGGTACTGCGTGTACTGTGAGGAGTCTCAGGTATAGACCAAAAGGCTGTTTAAAGCTCTCTGGGTTTAGTAGCTCTTTAACTGACATCAGGACGTGATCAGTCTTGAAATCCAATCGAATCCGTTTCCGAGTTGTTTATTTATTAGTCTTCTTCCTATCACACTAGACATAAATGCATAGAGTAATACTGAGACCTGAAATATCAACTGTGTTCATTTGATAAAAGAGTCGATTAAACCTGTTCATATTTGACAAGTGAAGAGCGAGTGGATAGATGAAAGAAGAATTCTACTGATGAAAGGAGCCAACGACAGAAACGCTGACTGATTCACCATTGTGGTAGAGCATTTTTATTTGACAGTTGTTGGTCAGAAGGCAGTTGAACGACTACTAAGAAACAGTCACATTCCACTACAGTCGAACAGTGTAATCATATTTCAGGCTTTCGGCTGATGCGTGATAAGTGTTCAGTAGAAGTGACACTCAGCTTACACCTAATTGGATATGACTACAACCCATTCGATATTCTCCTCATAGGGTTGCTGTATAGTTTGAAGAAAATTTAAAAGCATACGGAGCAGAGTACAGTGGATTCATATTATTTGGTCAGTGTCTTATTTACTGCTACTTTTTATTCTTCCGATGGAGAGGAGAAAGAAGAGTTCATCTATAACTTCCTGAAAGCATACCGAATAATCTACGCTTTAAAGGAGGTAAACCTATGAACAGTGAGTGAAGAAAGTAGTGAGACAACGCAACTGCCTTCTATCGCTGAAAATATTCCCAATTGTGGTGGACTTGTGGATTATGCGTCAGACTGTCATTGGGAGTGAGAAGACAGGAATACTCTCGACTGATAAAATACTCTAAAAGGTCTGCATTTCGCTCATGGGTGATGATTTATATTTAATATCAAACACAAAACGAAGACATGCAGGCTAGCTGAAGGTTGAACTTCGACTGAACACAGAAAAGGCGGAGGTGATGGAAATAGCCACGCACTGACAACAACAACTGCCAGCATCGGTCACCCTCAACAGAATACATTTGAAAGATGTCACTTCCTTCACTTATCTAGGAAGAATTGTTCAACCACAGGCAATCGGAACGGATGAAGATGTCAAAACCAGATAGCCAGAATCGGAAATGCAATATACACCTTCACCAATGTGAAGTCAATCAGTGCTTCTATATGGGTCATAAACTGGTTCGTCGCATCCAAAGAGCATTTGTATTCACGTTCCCAGTGGAAGATAGGGCTTCAAACTAGGGACTTGAAGTTTTGATAGGAATGGCGTTTATTTTTACGGGATGGCCTCATGCCCAACATTCTCACTTTATCAGTCTTGTTGTTGGCTTAGAGAGGTTTGGAAGTGAGTTAGCCGGGGATTGAACCTTGAACCACCGGAGTGGTTGGCGAGCAGTCTGCCGCTGTGTCACCGAAGTACTTTCAACAGCCTATAGACTTTTATTAACAGCTGACCCCTTCAACGGATTCCATACTGAAGATCAAATGGCCAACCGTTGAGAATGAATCAGCAACAGGAAACTGTGGGAACAAACCACCCAAAATCCGACCGCTCAACAAATAGGCATAAGTAAATAGGGATAGATCGGGCACACACTGACGAGAAGGTCGGCTGACATCCATCGCAATGCAGGCCATTGCTCGTGTAGAATCCCAGCCCTTTGTTTCACACGGAACCCAAGGAAACAATAGCAATTATAATAAGATTTTGAACAACTAGGTCACGAGACGCCTGACTAATTAAGGACATTAGGTAGACAGACTTTTGAATTCATTCAAAATAATGAACAACTGAAAGGTGATCACACGATAAGAAACTCATCAATTAGTGAAAACCATCTGAAATCAGGTCATTCATCACCATTCCATTTATCTTTTAAAGTAATCTACATACCCGAATTGAGTAACTCCAAAAGTTTTTGATTGATCCACTCACTTATGCGTGGTTATAGCTTCAGCTATTTAATACACTCGCACTTATAGGTAGGTATCCAGAGCGTAGATATTACTGATTTCCTGGAATCATTTAAGCGTCGAGCCAGACTGAATTATTATTTATTATAAGTTACTTAAAATAACCGGTGCATTTAATTAATAATAATCTTTTACAATTTCGCAATTCATCCACTTCAAATCTACCCCATCATGTTCATTATCTGTATTCCTATCATGTCTGTCTGTCTTGACTGAGCAATTTCTTGACTGGGCTTTCATTAGCCATTTTCATAACAGAAATACGACCATACACCTTGTAAAGGAAATGAAATATTTGAGGAGAAATGCTTCTTCATTGAACTCGAAACTGTTTTCTCCTTATGAATGAATAAATGAATGTGTCTATTTCGTGATTATAAGGGCTGCAGCAATCCATAGCCAGTGGATATTCTCCATCTGATTTCTCTGACAGTAATAAGGTCTTACCTATAAACTGGTTGAGTTCTATGGAAATCAGAATTATTATTTCAGTGCATTACAACTCGTCTTACTACTACTTCACATATCAAGTTTACTTTGAAAATAAAATTTACGTGAAGAGATTTGATGATTGTTTGAAATGATGTGTTCATGTAAAGACAACAGTAAATAAATCTGGCTAGTGAAACCACCTAGTAGGAACTTGAAATGATAAAGAAGATTTGTGGCTGAAGTGGGTGGGCGATTTTGATTTACTTGTGTCCTCTGAGTTGATTGATCTATTCCGAGGTATTCACAACTCAGACATGCCTTGAAAAAGTGGCTGAACCTTAAGAGAAATGAGGTAACAGACAATCTGTGACTAACAGAACAGCTTTGAAGAGTTCCTTGCACGTATTAAATTTTTTTATCAGACTTACATTACCTAATCAACGAATCTGAACAAGAAGGAAAAAGCGAACGATGTCAGTCAGTTGTCACCATTATTTAAAATGTCTGATGCCCAATATTCACAAGATGGTGTGCTCAAGGTGAGCGTGTTCAGTTTTGTTTGAAATCATCCATAGGAATTAAAAATTGAGCTGGTCAGTCTACTTCAATTATCACAGCTTTTGGCCAATTCGATACAAACAGAGTCTGGGAAGAATGCTCTTTAGCACAGTAAAGGCGTTATGCTCAGAAGACACGATTGAACAGGAACTCGCAGTTATCGAAGAAAAAACCCTATAGAAAATGTAGGATACCCACGAAAGTCCATATGAAAATAATGGAGTAAGAAGACACCTAGACCGAAGCCTGAAGTAGTCGAAAAGAAACCACTGTGTATCTGTCTAGCGTACACAGGGGAGGGGAGGGATATTCACAAAGACTGAAAAACGAATTAAGCGTGCATTGAAAAGAACATTTCTCACCACCAGACACATTCCACTTTACAACATAGTATGCTCGTCAATTCAATGAACAGAAATAAAGCACCCTGCTCCAGATGTCAATTCCAACAGCATTCACCAATTCGTCTACACCTGCGACAGGAAGTTGGTTGGAAGGACTGAAAGGAGAACACCTAGTAGATTTTCCGAGGATATCCCTAAAAGTCTCCGTATGAAAAGCAGTAAAGTGTTCTCAAATTTGATTAATTACCAAACACTCGATCCACAAGGGAAATACAGTGTAATGAATCAGTCAGGATTTTCCTTCTATTTGGCACTCGTCAACTTGATGCACTTGAATTGACAATCAGTGGTGATTTCCTTCTGGAGACTGGAACATAGCATTAAACGCCTAAAATACCGAATAATTATCCAGTTGGCTATCCATCTCTGTTTTTTCAGAATTTATCTATAACCACTTAACTAAAAACAGGACATTTTTCTTAATGACGCCAGACATCGAGGTTCCTAAACTAAATAAATCCTAATGTAATTGAAATTTTTTTAGATTTTCCTGTCAGTTGATTGGACCGAAGTCCTTGGTATCAGGTTTACATGTCGGCTTCTTGCGCAGATGCTACGATGATGTCTGCGCATGTAATTACAATTTAAAAGGTGTATGGTGACTAGCAGTAGAATTCAGGATGTGCATTTCGTGCGATTTGCACAAGAGGTAGCTCCCGTGGTTCACGTGCTTCAGTGGATAACGCCTTGGCTGGTGTTTGCAACTGTGGGCACTGGGCACTTGGAACACCATGACATACTGTGAGTCCCAAATAGAACAAAATGGGTGTTATCCTGGATTCCACTGCTAGTCACCATCCACCAATTAAATCCTAATGCATTTCAAAAATATCACTACGGGTTTGTTCCAATTTTTTGCATCAAGATATATACATAAATATATATGTTCATATATCACCTTGTTTATGACTTGTGCCAATAAATCGTAGGTACTATGCCTTATCACGAAATAAATAAACGTCAGTGCTTACCAATATTCAGAGCATTTCCATCACACGTAGACGTCAGTATGGCCGACAAAATCGCCAACAGAAACGCTGAATATTTCATTGTCAGACCACGTTTGGATTACTAAAAATCAACTGCTTCCAAAATTATCCTACACGTTTGCAAACACACAGACTTTTCTCTCCATTTATTTATATAGTAAAAAGACAAGCATACAGCAGCTTCAGTAAAATAAAATGAAACCTGGGGGTGAATTTTGAACTTCATTCACCAAGGTTACTAAAAGCCTTTCAGTTTCTGTGACCCACTTTGATTCATTCCATGACTTACTTAATCCGCCCAGCTCAGTTGTTCTTTATTTTTATTATTAATAAAAACAGCCCCATTTAGAATCGTTTTGCTTTACTGTGCTCGTTGGACCAGATTTACCTACAAATTTCTCTTCGCTTAGAGTAATATTCAAAGCTATTTGTTGTTCATAAAACTTGCGCTGCTTCTCACCCTAGCACACAGTGTTTCCTTCAGTTGAAAGAAATTCATGTTAAAACGCTGACAATTCCATTCTGTGATAATAGTTATTGTCTGGAATTAAGTGACTATTATTATTATTAATATTCATAATTAGTTGTGTCTGTTGCCATGTCTTACTTGACCTGAAAGCAACAGTTCATTATATTGTATTATTCATTTAGTCGAGTTTCATTCAACATCTTGCTCTCTTTTATTTATAAAAGCAGCATTGAATACTCCATAGCCTAGAAAAGTGATTCGACCTCATTAGGCTGAATGAATGAATGATTACGGATCTCCATGCCAATAAAGCAAATTTCACCCTAAAATGATATTTTCAAAAGACTCTTAGTTTTGTGTTTATGATCCATAATACAAGTAATTCAAAGAACGCTTCTTGTTTCTTTTTACCTTTATTCACACTGGAGACGAGAAAATTGTATACACGAAGAATTTATACCATGTCCCATCAAAAATTGTTTGAACTCCAGGTTAACTAATTCTCATATGAAATGAAACGAAGTTAAATGACACAGTCGAATAGGGAATGATGAAAAACGGTTAGTTTTGATATAACTACTTTGTCTACTTACATACCAATCACTACGATCTTGGAAACAGTTAAAATAGAACTCACCTCTGATCCAAAACTTACTAATAGGACCAAGATGCCCTCCTAAGAGATTATTTCAGCAATTCAATTATGCCTCACGTTCACTGTCTTCTAATCTTAGAGCAGAACATTTATCTATTTATTTTATTAATTCTTAATGAAAACAAAACACGTAAATCAGCGAAGAGTCTCTTTTCGGCGAATTCATTTTCTTAGCTGTAAAATCGCAAATATATATGTGTTGTTTTGTATGTATATGTACATTAAGTTTGTCAAACAAAATTACAATTGGTTATGGTCATTTTAACTAAACAGGTGAAGACTGGTAATACAAATCAAGACAACTGTGTTAATGAAACGAGGGTAGTAACAAAGGTGATGAGTTGTCACAAACAGTTATTAAAAGAAGTTATGTAATAATAATATGAATAGTTTGATGAGTGAGTTTGGCTCAGGATGCACATAGAAACAAAGTAGATAATACGAAACTATGTAAGAGATGTAAGTGAATGCAAGAATTATAAGCAATTAAAGAACAGGCAAAAAAACAAAATTAAGTCATCACTGTATTTTTTGTACAAGTATGGAATTTTCAGCATGGATATCGGTAGCCCGAATTTCTCAGGCAGACCAAAGATATCAGGTGTGCGTCGGCGGGGGATAGAATCTCGGACTATGTGCATGGTCGGCGAGAGTCCTAACCACTGTGCCAACGATGCACAAACAGAAGGCGTAGCAATAGGATTACCAATATCCTCAATTGCAGCAGATGCCTTTCTGAATAGTCGGCAAAATATGAATGTTGAAACATTTAAGTCTACTGCAAAGATAATGGCGCAGTTATGTGGATGACACTTTCACAGTGTTGAGAACAAGACGTTTATCTGGTTTCTCCACACACACACGCACACATATGAACTCAATAGTAGGGAGGAGGAGGATAAAATGTGCTATTGGGGGAGAAAATTAAAAGACAACAGGATTAACTGATGATTAGGAATACATATTCACGAGAGAAAAGTGTTATACTGATCAGTGAGAAACAATCAAGCAATGCGATCAGAAAGTCTTCACACTAACAGAAAATTTCTTTCCATCGTATATCCAGTGTCTAACGGGAAGAGAGTGTCATTTGAACCGATGCAGGTGGACTGCAATTAGTAAAACAATTGAGTGTTCACTCTGCAGTAAACTGCATTCGCATTTTCATAGTGAAGATATTCACAGCTCTGAGACAACCAGGTGAATTAAAGCAGTAACTTCATTGTATTATGCCGTATAATAGACGGCTGAAACCGTGATCATCCAATATGTTAAGACAAAGAGATTTTCAAACTGTCTTTTGACTAAATCAAGCTCTGTTTATTTCCAAGCTGAATTTCTTTACAGTCATTCGGCTGTGAAGACTCCTTGACTTACACAAAACCAATGATTGAGAATAAGTCAGTTGACAGATGTTCTACATACCTTGGATTATGTCAAACCCTAGCTGAATAACGACAGCATGTCCATTACACCACCCAGTTCAAAGGACTGTTCACTAGAGTAACAGTCCTTATCTTCCATTTGTGTAGTCAGGTGCGATTTCAGTGGCTCATCAGTATTTGAATTTAGTGAGAAAAAGCCGTCTCGTTAACCTCATGTCACACTCGTTTCGGACATTAAAGACACTTTTATGTTTCTGTAAACACTATCAACCTACATAATCAAAGTCACTTTTATATTTAAGAGAAGACACAGAAATGCCCGAAGAATAAAATTATCTTTTATGCCGTTTATTCATTTCACTGATATTTTACGACCATTCAGTAGTATCGGAAATTCAGTTCTTCTATATTGGACAGATTTATGAATGTGTCAATCGTGTCTTCACGTGATCACTTGGAAAACAACAACCCCAGGAATTACTGTTCAAAGATTGCATGCACTATGTCTAGATGTCGAGTTAACTTCGCCTGACAACAAAATTCCGATTGGTTTATATGAAATCTGGTGAATTTTATTATTAAGCCTAATAGTTGCTAACGAAACAAATGAATCGAAATTCATACATGTTGTGGGAAACTTGGATCTCAGTGAGGTAATCAGCCTACGTATCTGATGTCTTTTGCCCTGCTAATATTTCCCTGTCTATTCCACTCATCATTGTTACGAGGAAATTCTCAAGTAGCAGAACATTTCAGAATGGTGTGAAGATTTCATTTCACTTCATTATTATAATTGGCGAGTGTTTACAGCTCAAATTGATGTAATTTGCAGTAATTTTTCTATCGGTCAACTAATTCCAAATCCTTGCAACCGTAGCTTAAACTCAAAGGAGGCCTGATAAATTCAAAGCAACCACGACAAATATAACTGTAACCCAAATCGTCACTGCAGACGATATCAAAGCACATTCCTACTGAATAGATTGGATTGCAATTGCTAATACAACAGACCGTAATATGACCTGTATCAAGAAAACAATAATAATAATAATTTAATAATGACTGTCTGATGAATAAAGATATAGTAGGCAAATTAACCAAATTTGGAAAACAGAATTTCCCACTTCCATCGTGATCGGTGTGCAATGCTACTTTTGTCATGCAGAAAAATGCATAAAGTAACAACTCGTTTTACATATAAGTAGTCTGCGTGTTTGACAGTATATGCGAGACATTCCCCAGTTTTGCGCCAATATTATTTCGGATTTGATAGCAAACTAAAGGATTAGATTCAGTTTGCTGTGGAATTGTGAAATAATGCCGATTACCTTTGTATTTTGGGAGAAGACACTAAAAACGCCCTATCAGTGAATCAAGAGTGAAATAACAGTGGAAATACTGAATGACCCCATGAATGTATGGTTAATTCACTTGAATTAGTGTATAGTTAAAATCTGAATTGAGCATGTGGGTTTTTCTGCCGTTTCTCTAAGCCCTCTTATGAAAATGATGTCACTGCAGGATATCCACAAATTGGTCAGTATTATTTGGCGCTCCATAGTGAATCCCATCTCACTGTCCATGTATAAAAATGGTTCGATATCATATTTCGTTGAACATTGGTTCCACTTGTGAATGTTGAAGACATATGTGCATTTAAACCAGCCTGATTTCATCCCGAATTCACAGGTATCTGTTGAGATAGTTTCTTTTCCATTACTACACATTTTCTCATAACTTTCGTTATAACATAAGCGAAATTATTGTTATGGGGCTCATGCAGATGAAATTGACATGTGGAAGAGGTTGGCGGGGTAATCTGATTTACAAGATAACCAGTACGATAGACATCTTTAACTAAAATTGTAGTCATTTTATTTTCCACTCAAAATTCATACCACATCTCATAAAGTCTAACGCAATAGTGGTACATACTAAAGTCCGAAGTGGCATACGAACAGAAAAAACTTGACCGAATTTTCATCAGGAATGTAAGTAGAAGTAATAGAATACCAACGACTGACATTATGGATTCACATTAGCGAACAGATAATTCAGATGATTCCTATGTAGGCGATTTGGTTTCATTGTTTTGTTCAGTACCTGCTAAAACACACAGTTAAACAATACAAAGAGGTGGACAAAACGTGGAAATAAATTGAAACAAAGTTGTTTAGCCCCTGAAGAAATTGTTGGTGCTAAAATAAGGGAAACATAACGGAATAATTATATCGTAATTTGAAGCAATTTAGCTTAACTGGAAATGTGAAATGAATAGGACTAACAGGATTTAAGTGTTGGTTTGTCCCTTCTTATATATTTATATTTGTGCATTTTCTGTTAGTAAATTTTCAGTCTTTGCAGAACACAGAAGACATAAACACAGGTAACACCAATGATATACTTTGTTATGGATCTGTAGAAATTTTGAAACAGTCATAAAATGTTGATTCAAGTTCAGTGAATAGCTGTTAACCGCCTATTGTCACACAAAATTTCAATCCACATGATGTTAAGCCAGTATATATATATATATTTGTGTAAATAGGTGCACCAGCAGAAACCAAAAGATGAAGGCAAGAACAATTTCTGTGGAGTTAGG